TCTCTCTCTCTCTGTGTGTGTGTGTGTGTGTGTGTGTGTGTGTGTGTGTGTGTGCAACAGTGCATCTGTGGAGGTCAGGAGACAACTTGCAGAAGCTGATTTTTCTCTTTCTATGATGTGGGTCCTGGGAATGAACTCAGGTCATCAGTCTTGGTGGCAAGCCCTGAGCTGTCTTGTTGGCCCTGAAAATAAATATTTTAAATATACATTTTTTTTAGAGTCAGAAAGTCAAATAAAATAACTAATTCAGAGATATATAGGACAACATAAGAGAACCAGGAAAGCTACATTTGTTATAGCTTGTAGCAAAAAAAAAGGGGGGCAGAATCCCTAGCTCACCTGTACACCCCGAGACCTATGGTAGTAAACTTGAGGCATTGCTGCAGTTTGAATGTATCCCTCCAAAGTTTACGTGTTGGAAACCTGATTCCCAAATGCACATGCTGTTGGTGTTTGAGCATGAGGTTTTCAGAAGGCAATTAGGATTAGATGAGGTCATGAGGTTGGGACTCCCATGGCAGTATGAGTGACTTTGTAAGAGGGGGAAGAGATGCCTGAAGACAAGCTGTGTCTTCCTGCGTGACGGCCTCCTGGGTTACACTGTGGCACAGAAAGCCCTCACTGGTGGCTCAACAGACCTTCTTACATACCAAGCCTCTAAAAGAGCGAGTCAAATAAGCATTTTTATATAAAAAAATAAAATATACACATATAAAAATATAAGATAAATTTAATTCTGAAATGGGAAATGTCTCTGTGTTATTTATTGAGGAAATCTAATGTCTGTTACAGACTAATCTTAATGTCACCTATTTGGTATTCCTGATAAAATGCTTAATGTAAATCTAATCATGATCAAAAAAAAGCATAGCATTAATCTAAATTGAGGAACAACTGATCAGGATGCTTCTATGAGATCAACGTTATAAAAGACAAGAAAGTTTGGGCAAGTGTCCTAGATTAATGAGGACTAAAGAGTTTTCAACCAAATTCTCTGCAGGAGCTGTGACTGGATTCTGAATTAAAAGGGGGAAATGAAATGGTACATATAGGATGTTATTGGAACAATTAGAATAATATGAACATAGACTACGTAGAAACTAATAATGATTTTTTTGTTCAATTTAAGCATGGCAGATACTTATTATGCATAATTCTCTTGCCCCTGAAAAATATATGCTAGTGAATAGAATGTTTACAGTTGTGTGTGTGTGTGTGTGTGTGTGTGTGTGTGTGTGTGTGTGTGAAGAACAGAACTGAAGGTCCCACATGCTGAGCATTTGCTCTACCACTGAACCACATCCTCAGTACCAGTAATTTACTTTTAAAATGAATCAAATAAATAAATAGAAAGAGAAAAAGCAAGTGTGGCAAAACATTAGCCATTAGTTCATCCATTCACATAGTATCTTCACTGTACTGTTTGCCCAGCTTTCTGATAAGTGTGAAAATATACAACTGGAAATAAAAGAAAAGAGCTGCATAATCTAATGCCTAACATGCCAAAGCCCTGAGTCCACTCTCCTGAGTCCATTCTCCAGCACAGCAACAATCCGGTGATGGATGCCTGCTATCCCAGCATGTGATGTGGGCGGGGAATCAAGAGTTCAGAGTCAACTTCAGCTACATAGTCAGTGTGAAGCCAGCCTGACACACACACACACACACACACACACACACACACACACACACACA